TCAAACCCCAATTTTTTTTAAAAAAATGCACTTAAGGTAAATTGTGTGCCCCGAAACACAATACAATACCCATTTTTTGTGTGTGAAATATTAAAGATGAGATTACAACGAGTAAACATGCCCAGGTTAAAAACTGTCTGCCTCAGTGAAAAGGCGACAAAAGTCAGTACCCCAAAAAGTCCATAGACAATGCTTTAAGAGCCCCTACAGGTCATCAGTTTAGAGATGCACATAAATATTGGCCCTAGAGTTATTGCTCTTACTCTGGCGTGTGCGGCAATACCCAACATGCGTAGCGCACCGAACGCATGTTTACGTAAATATGCGCATTCTCACAAGGAGACCTTAAAGAAAAAAAATCATTATTTTTACATTTATTTAATGTTTTTTAATTATTATTATTTTTTTAACTGTAGTTGCTATCACATAGGGGGGCTTACAAGCCCCCCGTGTCATAGCATATTGGTGGTGACAGGTACTCTTTAAGGTGATACTGGGGGTCCAAAAAAAACTAGTGTCACCTTTACACTTTAAATAAGCTATTGATGTGCAGATCGCATTTCAATAGCTTATTGCTGGGCCTCAGGGACCGGAAGTGATGCAATACGCGTTGCTCCCGGTCCCATAGAACGGGGAGGATATCGGTAAAGGAGGCTTTTGGATGTTTGCCACTCTCCTCCCCAGCTTCCCGCCGACACTTGAGATGGCGGTCCTGGGCCCGTAGGAGGGGTAGTGGAGCCTGGGAAAGACTGCGCGCACGGGGGGTTTGTACTTTACCGTCCTGTAGAAGCGATCTGGCGGCAGCCGAGCCACCAGGGTCGCTTCTATTGTAAAGCCGGGTCAGCTGCCAGTGACAGTGCGTAAGTATGTCACTGGTAGCTAAGGGGTTAAAGGATCTTTTCAGCCATTTCACCCTGACAAATCTAAGACAATAGTAGATCTGTCTAAATTCTTCACTGGTAATCTGTACAGCAGCTACTCTAAACATCAATACATAAAACTCACATTTAATAAACAGAAATACCAAGAAATGTAATTTCCCTCAAATTTTCAAGGTTCTTTTTAAAGCCGTTTGCTTTTCTAACCTATTTAGCTGACCCAAGTCCTTTACAGGAGACAGCTTTAAGTCCCTGAACAAATCTACAGTCGATTTGCAGAGTGACCTAGAATTCACATGTGGTGTTACTATATTGTCCAAATTGTAACAAGAGCTTGCATGGTTACGCTCTGAACCACCTTCTGCTCTTGTTCTTATTGGCCATCAGGGCCAACCATAAGATTTGTTGGTCAATAGGGAGGTGCTGGGGGCACTAGGAGGTGGGCCAGAGTGCAGTCACACATACTCTGATTTTAATCCGCATAAGAAAATCCTATCTGCAGATGTATTTATTTAATGACTTATTATTTTGCTTACAGATATATTGTGTTGTGTTGTAAATTAAGACATGGCAGTATGATTAGTATGGACTCCCAACTTTTTATAGGGATATAAAGCCCAGCAGGCTGATCCAAGTCTCAGTGATTTTTTCAGAGTTAAAGCAAGATTACATTTTATTATGGAGGTTCAAAGGTAGCAGCAAGATGGGCATATCAGAATGCTCTCATAAAAGAATATACTTTCTGTAGATATCAACAACAAAAACACTTTAGTACTTACATAATGTACCTACCTTTTGAACTAGTATAAATAATAGGAATATGATCTTGCTCCAGCAAAAAGGAATTAGAAATCACATGACTTTTCATTCTATCAATCCACACCCATATATTTTTCTTGGTGTGGTAGTGATGCAGATCATAAGTGGCTGTATTAGGATTCATTTAGTGTTTAATTCTTTATTCTACTTAATTATAGTGTTTAATTCTTTATTCTACTTAATTATATGGGGTTGTCATTGGAAGTATTTTTTTAAAATTTCTGTTTAAAATTAAATGTAAGTTAGATTATTAGATTCAAGGAAACCTCTGCTAAGAGAAATGTACTACCACTGATAAACTCTCCTTCTGATAGTGTGACAATTTTCTGTCTGACACACTGATCTAATGGTCTCAATACTTTCCCAATCACTGAGCTGGAACAAGCATGTAGATCAGGATTTCTGACATTACTTGCTGCATGCTTGCTCTGGTTTAGAGGCATACTCATTATTGGAATCAGAGGAGTAACTTAACAGTTAAGCACTAGCATTTCCACAAAACGTCAGCAATGGTATCCTACATTCTTCTCCAGGTTTTCTTTTGCATCTTATAAACCCTCCCCCCAACTGCTGATACCTGTCTTTGTTCCCCTGTGGCCTTATTTGCCCACTGGAGCCAATCGAAAAAGCTCTATCTATGCCCGAAGTCAGCTTGTTGGCGACAGCTTATACAGGGCCAAGCACCGTTTCTCTTCCTTTTATGTCACAATGCCTGGACCTGGTTTTTGGCTTATCAGACACT